GCTCAACATGGGACACATGCTTTACATTCTTTACACCATGAGACAAGTGAAGTTCCCTAAAGAGTTGGAAGAAATCTACCAATCCATGTTTCTCCCTCTGAAGGTCAGAATCTTTGTCCTTATTCTACCATGAAAAAAATACTAGTCTTTTAACTTTAATGGAAATGAGTAACTGTGCATCGTTTTCAAATAAATACTATAATCCTGTAATTGATTATATATCTATAGATTGGTTTGGATTGACCGTCACATTATAACACTCCCACGACCGAAAGGGCGAGCGCCCGAACCACCTGTCCATGCCAGTCCCCTATATAACTATAGAAATTTAAACAGTGTGTTCTTGTAAATCTTGCTCAGGAAAATACATTTTCTGAATTTAAGTTTCTACGAAAAATGGTTTGTGAAAATAAAAAATCCTGTGTAAAATTTTATAGTATAAAATAAGACTACATTTGGACTTTGTAAAAGGTACTTTTTCCTTCTAAAAAATCTGGTATAAGAAAGATGGACATTCACTTTCCACAAATTATTCATATTTACCAGAAGTGGTGGATCTGTAGACTTAAAATATACAATAAGGGAGAAAAAATGAAATGCTTTCCACATATACTTAGATATTTCTTCTGACTATTGCAGTAATTTGTTGTATCTTCGATCTTCTTGTTATACGTGGTTGTTGAATTGTAATACTACAAACCAAAGTCTTTTTATTACAATTATACATTTTTTGTTACACCTCGATTTTCATTTTTTGTCTCCCGTAAGCCCTGTAAAATGAATTGTACGTATAATAGTGTCAGACTTGGTGCAGTTTGTTGGAAATAAATAAGTTATTGAGTTTCATATTTAGTAGTATGCTGGGTCAACTTCTATATTCTGTAATGAAAACATCACTAGTTAGCTTCTAAATTATGTTGCCTGTAATTGATTGATAAAGGTTTCTATAATGTGTATGTTCAGTAGTTTCGTGGCCAAGTTTGAAATTAATCAATTCAACGTGCAGTTTCATGGTCTCCGAGTTTCAGTTCTATTAAGTTAATATTTTATAGATAAATTTACTGTTTACTATTTAGGTTTCGCGTCTACTTTACAAGAAGTTGGTAAGTCTAGAGTATGCTCAGGTGCTTTCCTTACACGCTGGAGAAGCTTACGCTATGCAGAATCTAACCAGAACCGATCGATTAGGCCTACTTATTGCTGGAAAGTGAGTATAGTTCAATAACATTGTAAAGTTCTTTTCCTAATAACGTAGCTATTTTTATAATCATGCAAATTACTTAAAATATTTATTTTTATGATATAATCAATTGATAAAATCGTGGGAAAATTGACTATATTAAATATTTATTTATTTCTTCTAGCTTTGAAATGAATTTTTTAATAATTTTTAGGGTAAACACAAATAGCCTCGTAATAAGGTTTTGTCGTTATTGTTGCTGCTTTTGCTTTTAACCTACGTTTTGAGCTAAAAATACTATTTTTATTAAAAGTTTATTATTTAGATCTTCATAATATACGTTAAATTATTTCTAAGAGACTTTTCGTTTTTAAAGTGTATCTTAGAAGTTTCTACATAAGTCTGGATTAACTAATCTATGTTTCTAGATGTATAGGTTGCTTCCACAAATTCTACTTGTTTCTTGTTGATAAGGTACTGGTGTTCGATCGTATGTGGTAATTAAAGTTCGATAATATTGTTGCGTCAGCGAGGTCACGTGACTAGTATCACGCCACCTGTTTCTAGAAATAACCTGTT